TAATGAAGTTGCACAATAGAGCGCGCTGATTGGTTTGAACCAAGCCTTACTCATGCATTAATGCATCACACTTTAAGACGTAATAAGACACACTCTGGCACAGACGCCCAGTCTGCATGCTGGAATACAATGCTATTATGTCATGACCGTGACGCAGCTTCAAAAATTCGTTTCAAACCGGAAGTACGAATTTGCTTGAAATAACGCAAAAACAACCAATTTACACTTTTTAGTGAAATATAGGTGTCCTAATAGTGTTTTTAGCAGTGTGGGACACATATACGACTGTCAACAGCTCAAAAAATGTGTTTTGGTGTTTCGTGACCCTTTAAACCTGATTGGTTGGTGCTTGGGATACGTCACGTCCGACGCACTGGTTTGGGTGTCTGTAGTCGCGGCTACAGGTAGAGGCTCTGCGCTCGTTCTGATAATTTTTTGTAAGTTGTTTGAATGGACCCACGTTAAGCTCTCTTTTGGCATTGTTCTAGTGCATCGTGTGGCGGTGGCTTTTCCCTTGGCTGTGGTGGCTGGATGACTGTTCAGTTGCAGGTATATGATGGCTTTTAACTGGCTGAGTAATGGGGTTTAGCCGCATTTAACCTGCGTGTTTCATGCCGTACAGCTATTAATTCTGGCACCTCGCTGTATTGTATCGACCAACGAGTGATTATAATCTGTCTGAGTGTGCGCCCTTTGGTAAGTGAAGCACGTATGATTTGGTGTGATCATTTAAAGGACCATGTTAATGGGCTTGCTTGTGCTTTTCCTCCTTAGGATCCTCCCATTCCCTTTTATGTCGGATCTTCCTCTGGTATCATTTGTTTATTAGCTCCCGTATTCATCGCTATTGCTGTGGTTACCGGAGATCGTCTTCAACTGCTGCTAATGCTAACGGCGGCGTATTAGCTACTGATTGGACACCACCAATGCAGCTGTTAACGGGGATATCATGTAAAGTAGGTGTTTTAACCTAATTTACCCACTTATTGATGTATTTTGTTGGTTATTTATTTTTATTTATTTCAGGAACTGAGGTTTCCCCCGGTGGATGACGGGTCTCTTTCCACTGGTGGTGGTGTTTCTCTACCGTGTGCTGTGGGACACTGAGTGCGTGATAGCGTGATTTGAGTGCACTGTGGTGTGTGCGTGTGCTGGGGTAAAGTCGGTCCACTCGTACCCAGTCAGTGGGAACCTCCAATCCTGGTTTTGTTTGTTTATTTATTGTTTCTTTTGTATTTAATAATGAAGTGGGAATTTTTTATGTGTTTTTAAGAATCGTAAAATTTGACAGTTTCATTCAAAATAAATATTTTTGTACCTTTGCATTAACTCATGTCTCTGTGCCTTTCTGGGAGAAACGAACCGGTGTCCTTTTCTAATAGTTATTTCCCTGGGTAACTCCCGGGGTGGCGTAGTCGGTTATTTTTATTTAAAGACATTTAAACCCTTCTCTATACCCTCGTCACACAACAATCTACTGAAAATCAGTAAATTTACATGGCAACACTATCGACTGACAAACCGGCATTCTCAGAAAAAAAGGCCTCTGTGTCAGCCACAACGCCCTTACAAAACAGCAGACATCTGTAAGGGCTCAACTGAAATTTGAACCTAAGATTTCTTACGGCATGAACGAGAATCATACTCCTAGACCAGCAAGCCACTATGATAGAAATGTTTTATGTGGCGACACTATCTGCTGACAAACTGGAATTCTTCGAAATTTTTTTTATGAAAGTAGTAATGCCCTGTAAAACAACAGAGAAACTGCAAGGGCTCATCCGGGATTTGAACCCGGGACCTCTCCCACCGTAAGCGAGAATCATACCCCTAGACCAACGAGCCAGTAAAATCTAAAGTTTTGGGTGAGAGAGAGCGTAAGTTTTTGCGAAAGGCAACTTGTACTGGAGTGTGTGGTGGCTCAGGAGTAATGTGGATGTTGAGAGACAGAAGGAAATGATCTGATGTGTGTAGTGGAGTTACTAGTGTTTGATCAGTGAAGCAATGTTGAGTGTAAATAAAGTGAGTAGCAGAAGTAGGTTCTCTTTTGAGGTCAAAAGAGGCAAGCAGAGTCTGGAAGTCAGTAGCTTGAGGTTTTTCAATGTGGATGTTGAAGTCACCTAGCACCAACAAGGGAGTGTCATAAACAGAAAAAGATGAGAGAAGAACATCCAGTTCATCTAAGAAGTGACCTAATGTACTTGGTTGGCGGTAGATGACAACCACATTTATGTAGAAGGAGTGGATAATGGTGGCTGCATGGAATTCAAAGGAGCTGATCTTTGCCAGTGACTATCTCTGAGTAAATTTCCATTCTTTGGAAATCAATAGTCCAGTTCCACCCCCTCTCCCTGTCTGACGAGGAGTGTGGGAGAAAGAGAAATTAGCAGAAAGAGTAGCATGTGTAGCAGTGTCCTCCGGTCTCAACCAGGTCTCAGTTAGAGCCATGAGATTATAGTCAGAATGTGTAGCTATGGAGGTAATAAAATCTGCCTTGTGAACAGCAGATTGACAATTTCAGAGGCCCACGGAGAGAGTTGTGAAATAGCAGATGCATGTATTGAACGAAGGTTGTGATAATTATGCCTGCAGCTTACCTCCCGTGCTTTGCGAGTGTTAGTAACAACAGGAATTAGTTAACACATAATAAAAGTGCAATGAAAACAATAATAAGTGCAAAGATTAAGTAAAATAAATAAATAAAGTACTCAGGTGCTTTGTCAGTGTCTTTGCTCGGTGGAGTCGCACAGGTAGAGTCAATGGTCTTTACACTCGTCGGTCTTTACACGCAGTGAGACTAGCTGCTTATATACACCCCTGAGCGCTCGCTGATAGAATTCAGCTTGACATGCCTCAAGAGTTCCCACAATACAACAACAGAAACTGAGGCGAGGGGTGCAAAACCGACCGTGATCCACACACAAGCTCTTACAGTAACCAAGGAAACAGTGAGTAATCTTTCTAGCACTACACACAAACAACTGAAAACAAGTCTAAATGTACTTACACGCTGCTGGTCTCGTTGCTAAAGTGCTTCTCCTTTTATGGTTGAACAAGCCATCCTACTTCCCTTACTTACTTACATTGTCTATCCATCCATCTATTTATTCATTTTGTTTAGTAAATGTGTTATTTTTGAGGTTGACCTCAAAAAATCTAATAACTTTACTGCCAGAATTGTAGGTGCAGGCTAGGACTGTCTCTGCCATTGGCAGATAACGTCGTTTTTTTGGCTTCATAGGACATGGACTTTCAGCATGCAGTGGGACGGTTTGCTGCTGAGTGTGACATGGCAGGGAAATAAACAGCACCTCTGAGTCAGAAACCATGGTGCTTGACTGGTAAAAAGGTGGCCATCTCCAGTTTGGAGAGTCTTTACCCCAAATGGAGTACAAGTATCTGCGTTTTTTTTTTTTTTTCATGAAAAATGGAATGTGAGATTAAAAGATGGATCAGTGCAGCAGTAGCAGTAATGCATTTGATGTGATTGTCTGTTGTGGTGAAGTAGCTGAGATGAAAGGCAATGTTCTAAATTTTCCACTCAATCTAGGTTCGTACTCACATCTATGGTCATGACTGAAAGGACAAGATCTCGGTAACAACCGGATACATTTTGCAAAATGTTATGACCTGCTTGTTTGAGTTGCACCATAAAAGTGAGATGAGACAACAAAATAGCCTGAATGCAAATGATTTATTATAAAATGTAACTCAGAACAATCAATCAAAGCAACCAACAAATGTCTAGGCATAATAATGAAGATAAAGAACTTAGGATATAATCACAACAACACTTTAACTACAAAATATAAGTAATGCAAAACAAAACCATAAAGTTAAAGAGTCAATGAGATGGCAGGTCTTGACATGAGCACTCCCGAGTAGCCACAGCGTCCAGGGGTAGCTAGCACAACAACTTTTATATACCCATTGATGAGTAATGCAGGCATCCAATCAGGATTTACCACATATTCCAATCTGGAGTCTTGGGATTATCACAGTGTATTAATATTGTAAAACTAAATACTTGTCGCTCTGCCAAAATCATCAAATATTCATCAAGTTTGTATTCTACTCAAAACAGTAAATGTAGTAAACTAGAAAGAATTTTGAATCTAAAAGTAAGGAAACTTTACTAATAAATAGATGATTTGTTTCTCATTCAGGGAGTCAGACAAAGAACATCATCGAAAACAACACTAGCTACATGAATACACTGAAGAGTAGAGTACAGATGTATCCGCACCTGTACAATCACTTGCAAAGAGATTTTAAGCAGCAGAGATGCTGTTTGCCAGATGTTTATGAAACTGTTCTTCTCTCAGTTGCGATCATTGTGTTTACAGAAAACGCAAGGAGCGCAACACATTTCTACAAAATTTTCACAGAGGCACAACAAACACACAGACGCAGGGGAAAAAGACAGTGACTGTTTACATGGACATCAGTAACTGACTGTTTAATGACAGTGGAATGTTTGATACTGCACATTGTATAAGAGAAAAAAAAACTGCATTTCTCGGTAACTGAGATGCACTTAGTATGTCAGAAAGCCATGTGCGTGTGTAGACTATCCTGTCAAAAAACGCGTTTACATGTTTACACTCAGAGAGCAGCATTTACAGCAGATCCTTCAGTCCATAATATTGTAGTGATATTAACGTACTGACTTTAAACAATTCCTCTTCTCCCACTTGTTTTGGAAACCCAACTAGTCGTCTCTCTGCCGTCTGAACACTGTTTGAGGTAAAACAGTCTTTAAAGCTATCATACATATTAATGAAGTTGCCCCGAATACACAATAGAGCGCACTGATTGGTTTGAACAAAGTCTTTCTTATGAATGAATGTAGTACACTCAGAGACGTCATGAAATACTCCCAGATACAGACAGACAGTCTACATGCTGGAATACACGCAAGGAAGTGTATGGGTAGAAAAGTCCAGTGTGACCACGGCTTAAGTGCATGTGAATGGTTTCTTTCCAGTGTGGATCCTCATGTGTTGATTAAGGTATGATGAGCGGCTGAAACTCTTCCCACACTGAGTGCATGTGAATGGTTTCTCTCCAGTGTGGATCCTCATGTGGTGATTAAGGTGTGATGATTGGCTGAAACTCTTCCCACACTGAGTGCATGTGAATGGTTTCTCTCCAGTGTGGATCCTCATGTGTTGATTAAGGTATGATGAGCGGCTGAAACTCTTCCAACACTGAGTGCATGTAAATGGTTTCTCTCCAGAGTGGATTCTCGTGTGGTGTTTAAGGTGTGATGATTGGCTGAAACTCTTCCCACACTGAGTGCATTTAAAAGGTTTCTCTCCAGTGTGGATCATCATGTGTAGAATAAAGTTTGATGATTTGCTGAAACTCTTCCCACACTGAAGGCATGTGAATGGTTTCTCTCTAGTGTGGATCCTCATGTGTTGATTAAGGGATGATGAGCAGCTGAAACTCTTCCCACACTGAGTGCATGTGAATAGTTTCTCTCCAGTGTGGATCCTCATGTGGTAATTAAAGTGTGATGAGCTGCTGAAACTCTTCCCACACTGAGTGCATGTGTATGGTTTCTCTCCAGTGTGGATCCTCATGTGTAGATTACGGGACCACGATAAGCTGAAACTCTTCCCACACTGGGTGCATGTGAATGGTTTCTCTCCAGTGTGGATCCTCATGTGTTGATTAAGGGATGATGAGCAGGTGAAACTCTTCCCACACTGAGTGCATGTGAATAGTTTCTTTCCAGTGTGGATCCTCATGTGTAGATTACGGGACCACGATAAGCTGAAACTCTTTCCACACTGGGTGCATGTGAATGGTTTCTCTCCAGTGTGGATCCTCATGTGAATCTTAAGAATGTATTTTCTTCCAAAACTCTTTCCACACTGAGTGCAGGTGAAACGATTCTTGTCTCTCCTTTTTAAAATACCATCAGTCTGTAAAAAAGTTTTTTCCTCAATTTTGACATGATGTTCCTCCTGTTTACTCCCCTCGTTTTCTTCAGTTAGGTCTGAAATAAAAAAAAATAAAACATTAGTTTTCATTAAGTCTTTTCATTAAGTCTTAAAGGGCACCTAGGTTACCCCTTTTTTCAGATTTAATATAAGTCTTTTGCGTCTCTAGAATGTGTATATAAAGTTTCAGATCAAAATACCCATCAGATTTTTCATTATACCTTTTACAAGATGCTGTTTTATACTGATTTCCAGCAGGGGGTGGTTTTGTCGTACTGCGCCTTTAAGCCGAGTTCTGCCCGCCCACTGTTTCTACATGCCTCCTCCCTCAGCTGCGTCAGACAACAGACAGACTTAAAGGAAGAAGGTCTCACGTTGCGTTTGTGAGATACTACAGTAAGAACTAACCTTTACTAATCAGTATTGTGAAGTTGCCTTGATGAGTCACACACAATATCGTTACAAAGTTAACGCGCGCGCGCACACACACACACACACACACAGATACACACGCAGGCAGGCAGGCAGACAGAGCGCACTTAGCTTAGTTAAGGCTAACTTCAAGTACTGTGTGGATATCTGTTATGCTAATGTACAAAGTAAACCTGATTTAACTTCCACAAACCGGGATTGAAGCGTCTTCTTTTATAATTGTTCTGACACGCGGCTGTGCTGATGAAGTAAAGCTGAAGTAAAACGCTGTAATTAATTACACACATACTCTGTTTTAAAACACTTTAAACATGTTAAACTTACTCTTAATCACATTTGATGACGATTGCTGATCCTAGCGAACAGAACAGACCTTTTATTCCCGGTTGCTTTGCGTATGTCTGCCTGGTCTTGTTGACATAAACACGTGACTACCGGAACATGTTAATGCGCGCAGCTGTCAATCAATTCGGTGGGCGGGGGGATCGCACACCTACGTAATGGTGCGATCGATTTGAAAACAGCTCAAATTGGCCGACCCTTTTTTTGTAGTTAAATTGAAAAAAAAAAGGACTGGGTGTGTTCATATCACCCCAGTATGACGGTCTATACACTATACCAACACACAGATCTGTCCAAACAGCTTGAAAAGTAGATTTTTTACCATAGGTGCCCTTTAAGTCATCCTTATTTATCTAGTGCTTTTACAATGTAAATTGTGTCAAAGCCACTTAACATAGAAGTTAAAGTAAATTTAAACTGTGTCAGTCCAGTTTTCAGAGATTCTTACATAATTGATCATAAAAGTCATTTTGGTCATATTGATCAGACACAGATTTGAAAGCTGTAAATGGCCTCTTTTTATTCCTATATATTCACAATTACAACAAAATGTTTTTCTAAAATGTGTAAAGCAGACAGGGAATAATTGTATATTCTGTGCCTGACTGGTACACGGCAAAAACTGAAATCTAAGAAAGTAAAAAAATCTTATTTCAAGAAAATGTGTCTTGTTTTTTTGCTATTAAAGATGAATTGTCTTATAAAATACACTGTGGAGTAGACTATAAGTCTTAATTTAAGAAAACCGATCTTCTTCTGGCTAGGCAAGTAAATGTTAACTAATTTTAAGCAAGATTTTACTAGAAACAAGTAAGAGCTATAAAGCCCAAATTTGTGCACATTCAATAAGATAGTTGTGCTATTTTTAAGACTAATACACCACTAAAATTTCTAATTTTAAGAATATTAAGAAAATATTATTTTAGATTAGATTTAATTTTTCATACAATTTTGTGTGGGTGAGACTGTCTGTTTTTGAAAATTGAATAAAGAAAAATTGCTGTGAACAAACACTTGGCTTAAAAGGATTTTAATTCTTATTTCGTACTGAAAAAAAATGCAAAAGTTGTATCAACAACAAACTCATTCAACATTTGTTTTCACAGAATTTATGTAAATGCACAATCACTTATAACAGATTTCTTCCTGTCAAAATGGACAGCACTTTACAAGTATTAAAAAGTTAACCTATAAGGAATATTCTGCGTTCATTACAGGTTACCCATAATTAACAGCATTTGTTGCATAATGGTGATTATCTCAAAACATTAACTTTCACTTCTTCCGGAACAATAATATTATACGCCACACCAAACAGTGAAACACAAAATTAGAATGCGCGCGTTGAAATAAAAGAAAATAATTATGATCATTGATCCTGCCACCTTAAAGCTATCTTAATAAATTAAGTTAAATAACTATTTTATTAAATAATTATAAAATGGTTTTATTATTACAATAATATAAATATATATATTATTTTCTGTCTAGCAGTTTATAGGCTACCTGCTCTTTCTGGGAAACTTCTACACAGCAAAGTCATTGGTGTTAAATTTCAAGTGTTGTGGTAATTCAGAGTAAAGTGTTAAAATTCTAGAGTTAGATAAAGGTAAAATAACCCTCTCGGCGTTAGAAGCTGATTTGCCTCCTTGTCACACAGAGTAACATGTATCTACCTTAGAAAAAACCCTGTTTTTGAGTAACTAATCAGTGTCTCATCATATACCCTCATTCACCTGGCCCTTAAATTAGTCAATTAGTTTAGTCCACTAGACAGAGCGAATGACCACAAATAAGTGAATTCAGACACCTGCTGTTAACAAGCACAATCACTGAAGGAATAAGAAATAGAAGGAAGAAATAAAACTAGACACAGCCTCACACCAAACCAACTGAATTAAAACAGAGGATTAAACAACTCCATTAAATAATAGCATAAGCAGCTTCACTGATTACAGTTTGACTTCATTTCTGTAAGAATATTTTTTTTATTAAAAATATTTCATTTGACCTCACCATCATGGAGATCAGAGGCTGCTTATTTGAGCTCTTGAAGCTTTACTCTTATATTCTAATGTTTCCCTGACTGTTATAGCTGTGTTACTAAAACGCATCAGTTATAACAAGAAAGGTCAAGAGAAACAATACAGTTTCTGCTTAATTGTGATTGATATAATTTCAGGTGTTTACTAAGTTAATTCATAAAAAATGCAAATATATTTGTATTAAAGCTGTAAGGGACAATACTACTGGAAGTCTGCTGCTGTTCATAGAAAATTCAACAATTAGGATGCAATTAATAATTAGAGTGTCATGCACTAAACATTCAAGCTCCAGCTTACTCATTATGACACACAGGCATCAAGAATCAACATATGAACCTCAACAGTGGTTGCTAAAAAAAAAAAGCTGCATAGTTCATGCCGCAATGCATGCTGGGTGCCAGCATAGTACAAAGCTCCCAGCATGCATTGCAGCATGAATAAATTATGCAGCTTTATGTTCTTACAATCTCTTTCTTTTCCTTTATTTTGTGTTGTTTTTGGGAGGTGATATTTCAGTAGAGTGTTTTTTTTACTTGATTTTTATTTTTTTGTTTGTCACCATTATTGAGATTCAAAGACTAATTATTGATGTCTGGGTGTTTTTGAGTTCTGCCATAGTTCAAACATTCTCATTGTAAATATTGGTTTCATTTCATTTATTTAAATTACTTATTTCTCACACATAACTAACATAGTACTGAATTAGAAAACAAGCAGGAAAGGAAGGCTATGTTATCATAAATAATCTCTTCAGACTGACACTTTAATTTTCTTTCAGCTTTCCAAGCTATATATATATATATAAATAGTGTAATTAACACTAACTATAGCAGTCAAAATAAAAGACATTTATAGCAAGAAGTTGAAGAGCCTGACTAAAGCAGACTCTGTCCTCCATCATGGTGACTTCAAATGAACAACAGAAATTTTATTAAGAGCTTTTGTTCACATGACAGAAATCAAGTCAAAGGTCAGTAATAGGTGAAGCTCCATGATAAGTTGTTTAATTTGATGAGTTTTTTTAAAGATGTTGTAAAATAACATTTTTTATTGTGTAGTTTGTTTTATTTTTATTGATTATTATTTTATTTAGAGTTTTTTTTTTCTCAGTTGATTTCATCTTTGGTTTTAGTTTGTGTTTTTCTGTCCTTCAGTGATTCTGCTTGTTAACAGTTGTTCATCAACAATTCTCAATCCTCCTTTAATTAGACACTTAATTGTCTCATTAACTTCATCACTGTCTGAGTGTTCAGCCCTCTGTAGTGAGGACACTAGTGAGGATTTTGCTGTGGAATTTAAGGCTTAAGTGTGTTCGAATGAAAAATACAGACTATGGGATGTATTTTTAACAGAAATATTCTGGAAACTGAATTTACGAATGTAAAATGTTGAAAACAGCAGATTACTGGCAACCAGTGCTGCCAGTATTTTGACATACATTTAACAGATATTTTACACAATAAGAGTTTGCTAATTAACACTCTGGGTGTTAAAAATTTTAACACCTTCAAAAGTGTTATTTTAACACTTATAGTGGTTCCCATATAAACACTGAGGAAGTGTTAATTTTAACTCTAAGGTTGTTAAATCTACCAAATCTAAAATTTGCAGTGTGAGATCGATAAAAAATACAGACTGTTGAATGTGCTTTTAACAGAAATATTCTGTAAACTGAATTTATGAATGTTAAAAACAGCAGATTACTGGCAACCACAGCTGCTGGTATTTTTCCGTAAATTCTAAAAATGAAAAAAAAAAAAAATGAAAAACAGCTAAACAGTTTTTGTGTCACCATTGTGGAGGATGATAGCGTCTCTGTTCAAGTTCAAGATGAACTGAGAGTATTTGATGTTATGCTGCATCTTCTTTTGTTTAAAGGTTACTGTGTAGTTACTAATGCAGTCAAAATCTGTTTGCTACTAGCAATCACACATGAAAACATTATTGCATCTAAAGACTTCACATTTTTTTTGCACTAAGCTATGATATTGTAAACTGAATATTATATCAGTTCATGAAATATGGTTATTTTTTGTAAATTTATACAGTTCTATAGAACTTCCATGTTTTTCACAGAAAGATTCTGGCAACCACAGCTGCTGGTATTTTTTCTGAAATTTAACAGATATTTTACACTATAAGAGTTTGCTAATTAACACTCTCTTGGTGTTGACAATGTTAACACTTTCAAAAGTGTTATTTTTAACACTTATAGTGGTTCCCATATAAACTCTGAG